CTTGCCCCGATCTTCAGAATTCCAAGGCAGGACAAATGGAGGTGAAAAAGGGTCAGCCCTAAAAAGAGACAACAAACTCTGCCCAAAGGGGAGTAGTCGACAAGGAAGTGTAATATTGGCATTTCAGTGATTATCTGAGCAGTTCATTGAGAGAGGCCCTCAGTAAAACAGTGAATTTTGGTTTAACGTCTTAATATATGATATTTTAAACCCATGTTATTTTAAAAACACATTTCATTAAAAAACGTGTATTCATCATTAGTGCTTCAGAAGCAAAGAGAGCAGTGTGCAACCCAGCTGGGGAAAGAAAGAGAAACATGCACACTACAAATTCACAAATATTTCCCATTGTATCCACATGGGAAGGAAATTTCAGAGTTTACTCCCTGTATTGTGGGCTGCCACAGCTTGGTGGGCCTAAGAGGGAGATTTCACTCTGGCTTCTCCTGAATGCTGACCACGTTGCTTTTCAGGGCTGTCTCTGCAACAGTACATGGAAGAAGATGATTTGAAGCCAAGGAGGTCAGAATTAGGGTTCACATTTCTAAACAGATGGAATATAGACTTGCTTTCTTAAGCCTGGTCAGCTAGGAAGGATAAACTACAATACTGTTTTTCTGCCAACAATAAAACTAACAGATCTGCCGATAAAATTATCACCTTTTTAATTTCTAGGGTAGCAGCTTTTAATTCATATCCCCACCGACAGAAACTTGCTTACGACATAGAACAAAGCCCTGTTTTGCTAATGTAAAACATTAATTCATCCCACCAACATGGTAACTCCTGGCTAAAAATGATGTCCTGGAAGAATCAGCCATACTACTCACTCTATCTGCCAATCATCCCTAGAACTATTGCTTTTACTGGGTTTTGTACAGCACTAAAATCACTGCTGGCTCTAAACAAAAATAATGAGAACAATAATGATAGTACTAATCCTTCTAGCCAGGTCACATGCTCACTTTGCCACTCTGACCACTACGCACCTTTCCAGCTGTTTAAAGAACAGATTGCAAGGAGAAGGGAAAAAACAACTTCTGCAGCACTTGCTCTATTTCTGAGCAAAGGAGCAGAGTACTTCTTAAAAGTCCTTAGCACTGGGCTGAGAGCCAGGATTGTCTCTGATATGAGCTTCCTTTGTGGTCTCATCGCTTCCCTTATAACAGAGATTTAAAAGCCACTTGTTTCCCACCAATGACAAGCAATGACATAAGAATTAGTTAATATCTTGGTGGTGGTTTGGAAATACAAAACCACATTCCATATGACAGCTTCCCAAAGAGCAGAAGTTTTAGTGTAAACTCATTCTATCTCAAACGTTACATGAGAAAAAACCCCAAACCAATACAAACCCAGAACACAAGCTTGAGCTTTAAGCTGTCAAAGAGTTTAAATTTCTTCCTTGATTGGAACCTCTTGGAGCACCTAGAAAAAAAATTTATTTTCCTCTGAATATAGTAAATGCCAATTCCCCTTCCACCCTATTATTGGTAATTGGGCAGAGATAATCCCAATTTACTCTGCCTACATAGCAGCATCATTGCCAGCGCCACTGCAGCTCTGGGAATGCTCCTTGTCTATTGACTGTTGCAGAGCTGGAAGAAAAAGCATCTGAACAGGATCAGTGGGAGAGAGAGAAAACTACCTAAGCAGTATCAAAAACTGTAAGTTAAGATCTGCCAGGTAATGTTTAACTAAATGCATCCTTTTACAGTCTGGAACACAAATGCTGTAACAAAAGGGACATAAAAGTCTTATCTACTTGGATTCTGGAGACAAGAAGATGCCTCAGAAAAGCAGTAATAGCTGCTTTAACATCTCCTGTCTGGTTAACTGTGCTCAAATTTAAATATGGCTACTAGTGAATTTCACTTCCATTCCCTCCTGAATCAGCAAAGAAAACAGAAGGACTATCTAGTCTCCAGGCATAGCCTGCTACCTCCAAATACTGCAGTGTTTCCAAGAGAGCTCAGCAGGTAACACCACAAACAACATGAGAACCATGAAGACTCAGCACGCCTATCCCTGAGACTGTCTCTTACCAGGAATGTACTCGATGCTTCAGAAGATGATGTTAAGAATTAGCCCGGTGTCCAACTAAAGAGCAACCTGTTCAAAAAGGCAGTTTCTCCTGAATATCTGGCCATTAGCTGATGGCTCATATTCTATGGAAAGAAGGCTCATGTTCAGTTTGCTTTCTCTCTTCCACCCTGGAAATTGACAGTCTTTTGTTTAAATGCTATGGGTTGCTGGCCCAGTGCTGCCCTGTGGTGATGACCCCCACGGGTAACTGGATTGATGCAAGGACATTTTTAGTACGATCAGTTTTGATGTCATCTGCCCAGCCGTCTCCCTGCCACTCATGCTAACTTATCCTTCCAGCTCCACTAGTTCCAGAACAGAACTCAAACATCAAAAGACAGAGTCGAGGTTATCACAGCTGAGAAGTGCACCTAAGAGTCACTTTCTCAACTGCAGATAAATGTGAGAACTCAGGATATCAGTTCTGAGCTCAGAGCTGAAAATAGTGCACACTTCTACAGAAGGAATAAAAGTCCTTAAAGGGCAGAAGGGCAACCTAAGGGAGAGGGAGGAAAACAGCTCTAAGAACCCCACAGAAGCCCATTTGGCTGTGGCAGCAAAGAAACTGTCTCAGGTTATTTAGTGGAGTATTCACTTCTGACTAAGAAATGCATCCTTGAAATCAAAAGCTTTTCTACCTTCCACTAGAAATGGCTGAGCAGGTCTGCCTCGCCACACAACGCATGCTCTCAAGGCCACCACACCGGAGACACTGCCTCACATTGTGTATGTAGTAGCTCAACTCTGCTCCCACCAGAAGTAAAGGGAGTTTTCCAAGTACTTCCAGTGGAAACAGGCTTTGCTCAGATGTTTAAATGCAGTAATGAAACTAGACAGCTCTGGGACACAATCCGACGTGACCACAATCAGCACCCTAAACTGAGACAGACCCCACAGTCAGGAAGCACAAGGTAAGCTTTGCTGTCAAGAGTGAAAAGATTATACATAAGAGATGAACTTCTTAAACAAGAGGAGATAATGGAAGGCGATTTCAGTCCAACCAACTCACTGTCTTTCATCCTCAAGGCTCGAATCAGTCCATATCACAAAACTGTAAAAACCTTAAACAAGCACATTGTCAACTGCTTTCCTCTGGGTTACAAACACATGAAAGAATGGGGGAAAGATGGTAACAACAGAGACAAGCCTGGCCGATCCTCCAGGTGGGGTGAGATCCAGCACTGTAGGATTTGATTCTCTTTAGAGTTTAGCCAGTAGATGTATGGTATAATCTACTGAAACTGTCCCATTTGATTTTAAAACACAAACACAGCAGAATGTGATCATAAATAAGCAAAGTCTGTGTTAAAAAATTCTAAGTACACAGCATTTTCTCCAGTTCTGACACCTTTTTAATAGAAATCACTTGTTTAGGAAACAAATAGCACTTTTGTAATTTTTTTACAATGTTTCTTACCTTGATCTTATTTTAAGTAACACTAGGAAGACCTCAATATCTTTTATTTTCCTTTTTAATTTAAAAAAGTTGTTTTTTTTCCCCCAGATACAAAGATTTTGCCCTTGCATAAAAAAACAGTGCCCAAAACGATGACACAAGGACTCACAAAGACTCACTGTATCTCACTGACACTATTACTTCTAATCTATACCATGCAAGGTCCCATCTACCTCTTTAATTAGACTGTCAGCCTGAAAAACAGCTTTTCTATTCCTTATTTAGTTCTTGTTACCAAAAGAAGAGAAAGGAAGTGAAAGAAAAGGACATTTCTCTGTTGAGTTCACACATCTGGGTTATGTGCTACTTTGTTCAGGATACCTTTGTTGTTTATAAATACAGAAAAGGGCTGAAATCTCATTTTCAAGTAATTGATGCACATTTTCTCTTGAGACACCTCCATCCAATGCTCCAAGCTGACCCTGAATTCTGGCCCTCATTTTCCCATTCCCAACATAGACTTTATGGATGAATGTGAGGACCCAAACCAACTCTGCAAAGCAAGTCTGTTGTTTAATGTGAAGAAACAGGACTAACCCCAAGCTGTTGGGACAGTAGATCCTCAGCCTATACATGTGAGGGGAAGCACAGGGGCAGGTACTGATCTTTTCACACTTGTGACCAGTGACAGGACTCGAGGAAACTGCATGAAGCTGAGTCAGGAGAGGTTTAGATTAGATAGCAGGAAAAGGTTTTCCACCCAGAGTGTGGTTGAGCACTGAAACAGGCTCCCCAGGGAAGTGGTCACAGCACCAAGCCTGGTTGAGTTCAAGAAGCGTTCTGACAATGCTCTCAGGCACATGGTGTGATTCTTGGGGTGTCCTGCACAGGGCCAGGAGTTGGACTCGATAATCCTGGTGGGTCCTTTCCAACTCAGCATATATTATGATTATATGATTATATGTGCTGGTTACTCAGTGAAAAGTCCATCTCCTTTCCTTTTGTAAATCTCCTGTCTAAACAATAGTAAATACTGCTTATTTGATAGACTTGTCCCTTCTGGGCACTGGGATTTGATAATTTATATTTCTGGTTTTTTTGGTTTAATAGTACTGAGAGTTTAGAAACAGGAAAAGCCCATAGGCTCTTTGGACTTGTTTTTGTTTTCCCCTAGCTAAACAAACTGTTCTGCAAATAGGAACTTGAAACCTGCTCTCCTCCCTTATCCCTGCTCCTCACCCCAAACAAAAATAAAACAAACCTATAGTGGCTGTGGAGGCTGCTGCAGGCACACACTGGTGTAAAATATAGAGAGAGTAAATATATTATTTCACTTGGCATGGTGCTGGCAAAGAACCCCCAGCTGGCACTATTCATGTAACATGATCCAAACTTCGCATGTACACACAGAATAAGAAGGATCAATTGGCAAACTCCGGTGCCGCCTGGCACAAGCATCTTCACGCTCTCTCTGGAACCAAAGAACTAAAGAATTCTGCACTTTCCAGAAGAAATCCAGTTTTGCTTTTCTAGAGTTTCTTTATTTTGCTCTTTCTCCTCGCCGCCACCTCCCTTGGCTCCTTCTTAACTTCACTGTGTTATTTAGTCTCATCGCCCTTGTTACAGTTCACCATGCAGCTCTGGGAAGGGGAGGGGGCTAAGGTGGAGGTGGCAGCATTAGTATTGTTAGTGGAGTCCATGCCGTTGGAGATGGCTACTGAATTGACCTCAGAGTTTATGGGTTTTGAAAGGTCGATGCCTTGAATGAGGCGGATCAGCTGTTTTACCTTCTCCAAGGAGCTGTGCATCTCCTTCTGTTTTGCAAGGATGGTATTCTTCATTTCCATGCATTTCTGCAGCAAAACAGAAAAGCAGTAATAAGTTCAAGCTTATGAATGAAACCAGGTAAAAGAAGGAATATGCTGTTCACAGATCTAAATGTAAGAACCTAGAAAAGACAGCAGCTACAATTTCACTTTTCCAACATAGAAGAAAAAAAGTCTTTGGGTTGTGTTCACAGGAGAATTCATAATTGCAGGCTGAGGAATTAAATTGTCAGGACATAGCTGTCACCTGGTATGGCTCCCTTTTATTCCAAGGTGTTCTGCAAATGAACACAGACAGCTTCATCCTTTTGTGTTCTTTTTGAAGGAAAACTTCCAAGTATATGTTCTTACTATTTTTTCTATTAGTATAGCATTACTGAAATTTCTTTAGCTTAGATCTGCAAGCTCAGGCATCCTACTGCAGCTGACTGCAGACAGTGTGTGCACACCATTAGTGGGATACAGCCTTTGCTTTCACATACATTTTAGCAGGAACATCACTTCCTTCTCTCAATAAATAAAGGGGCACTTGAAAAGGAAAACAAACTCCTCTTCACTTGAAAATCTTATTTTGCGGCCACTTCTTTCTCTTAGAAGTGGTAGTAACATAGCTAGCTCATCAGTTAAGTGTCAGGGTAAGACAATTTTTTTAAAAGGCCACAAATGATGTTTCAAGAGTGAAAAACTGCTTATATGTACATTTGAAACCCTCAAAAATGAGCAAACAGTAGCTATGTCTGTTACATTCAGGCTTTTACACAAAGATGGCAATCTTTCTACATTTTTTAAATCTTTTATTCATGCTGATCTCCAGAAACAGTTGGTTTTAACTTTACTATTTTCACATGCAGCTCCTGGCACCATAGTAACACCATAAAATCCAGACCGATTGTGTCTGTTTTTGGACAGGTCCAATGTAAGTATAAACACTCTCCTTACCCACTGCTAATCCTTCATGTTAAAAGGCTTGCATCTGCCTGGGTGCCTCACTGAGAAACAGCGTAAGTGCTTTAGTGCTGCTCAGGTTACACCCAGCTACTGCTAATCAGAAGATGACAGTGTCACAAACTGCTAACCAGCACCTCTCACCACTCGTTTGCTCCCAATCATTTTATTGTATTGTCAGCACTGAGGGGCCTGAAAACACAGGACACTTCTGTTCCAGTAGGCCAAGACAGGCAGCTTGGAAAGTGCATCTGTATTTAAGAAGTCTCTTCTTATGTATCCAGCCTTACCGATGTTGCACATCGGAGATTTCGGTGTGTTTCATTATGTGATACTGACCAGGACTGCACTAACTGAGGGGCTCAAACTTTACACTGGCAACTCAAGAGATTGATTTGCATATTAAGGTGAGAAGAGAGAGCAAATTAATATGTATGTTCCAATTACTGCAATAAACTAAGGTGGAAACTAAAGCTTCTGGTTTGAAGTATGACATTGTCTAATTAAATATTATGCAGAGCCCCGCACAGTGTCCAGGTGCTGACTGCCAAGGTAACATGCCAAGAGCCTGAGAGTCATCCTTGAGCAAACAGTCGCTTTTGCATCAGGAAGGTCTGGAAAGCTCAACAAGACTACAACTCTCATTACACACCATTCTTGTTTAAGTGAGCCACTGGAGAATTTGATTCAATCTACTGCCCACAGACGATAATGCTCTGTGTCGTTTTTGTCACCTGCTGATATTACAGGTCTACCTACATGGTCAGCATGGATCATGTATAAGAGACTCAATGTAAGTATTTCATTGCATTTATTTCAAAGTCCTAAAAAGCAAAGGAAAATGCTCACTTAGTTCTCACTAAATCCAGTGGAAGACAGGTCTAGTACATCAAGTCACTCTATAATAGTTTTCTCTCTGCATTCTGGCACTAGAACACAGGTGAAGAATTATTTGGGAGGACAATACTCACTGTTATAGAATTGCTGAGCTGTTTGACCTTCTGCTCTAGTTGTTCTCTTTCCTGTTTTAAATCTGAACTCCATTTAAGTAGCTTCTGTTTTTCCTCTTCTTTTGCTGCAAAACAGGATATTTAAAATGTTTCTGTTACAACAGTGAATAGAGGGTCTAAACTGCTTCATGTAAAGATCATAACTGGGTTTAAAGTCAATTCAACAACTTGTGCACTGAATCACCCCCCAAATTTTACTCACATACATAAGCATCACAGAAGGCTTAACAAATATTTAGACTGGTATTTTCACTTCAATAGTTATTAAGGTTCTTCCCCTTTAATTTCCTTTTATAAAGGAAGTACCATTCTGTCCCATTCCCAAAATAACACCTTCCTCTGTTAAAAGTGAAACAAAAGCATTGTCCACCATTTTCCTACCTGCTTTATATGCAATATATGAATGAACAATTGCTAAAGTTCCCGGCCATGGGATTGCTTCTTCCTTCTTTAGCATCTGAAAGAAAATTGTTTATAGAGATATAGCTGGTAAAAAAATCTACCTCTGAGAAAATAAAAAGGAGAGACAGAAAGAGGGAAAGACTGAGGATTTTCTTTCATGGCTATCATTAGTCTCAGCCCTGTTAACATGAAGCTTCACAGACCTTTTCTGAAATTTAACAGAGTGAATTATTCACAACTGTATTGTGGCTTCCACAAAACAGGCCTGTTTCTTACAAATGTCAGCATTTTCCTAAATTCCTTCCATAGCCACAAATAAAGTCTATTAATGAAACTGAACAACTCAAAAGAGGAATGAAAGGATAATATATCTGAACTCAAACTGTCCAGGAGACATAAACATTACTTCATGATTCAGACAAATTGCTGATCTTAGTTGTTCTGGGAGAAAAGTTTTCATGCCACAGAACAGTCTCCACACCATACATTCAAACATCACACTTCCTGCCTAGTAAAACATGAAACTCTCCTATCTCCCCTTCTTATCAGAATCATCTTAATAGAGTTGTCAAACTCTCTTTAAAAGGGTAAGAACCATTTATGTCTTTCATATCCTTCCTACATTTTGCTTCCTCACAAACTTTTTTGAGAGGAAAGACACATATTTTTAATAACTGATCAGAGTGGTACCTCAGAAGACAGAGGACTCGGTTAGTTTACAGTGAATTTACTAGATCTCCCTCCCTATCACAGAAATATGAAGAGGACGGGTAAGGTCAAAGTAGGCAAGAGCAGGAATAGAGGGAAGTGGTCACAGTCCCTCCTCTCTGGCAACTAGTGACCAAGTCACTTGAATTTTGGATTTTCGTTCTTCTGAGCAGCACATCATATGTCAGGCTGTTTTCTCACATCACCACCTGGCTAACCAAAGGTCATGTGGGTGACCAAGCAGTATGTTGTGTTAGACAGAACACTAACAGCTTCAGGCTGCTCATTATCAGCAGTCCTTTGCAACTTCTGGAGTTCCATGGAAGGGTTAGGAATACAATAGTTTACTTCTTCATCTTGTAATCTCAATGCAATTATGAACAAAATATTAAAATATAATCTGTTCGCTTCAACCGTGTATTTTCAGAGAGGGATCTGCAAGGAAGGACCACCAAAGTGTTCACGTATCCTCATTATACTGATGCTGGGTGATATTATTAAAGAGATCACTGAAGACAACCTCTTTATATGAGCAAACAGGGGCTTATATTTGCCCTATCTATTGAGGTAGGCTTGTGCAAATGTTTTATTTATTTGTCCAGAAGAATATACTAATAACTTTTGAAGAAACAATGAACTTAAGATGAACAGCAAAATTCCTACGGGTAGAAAGACAGAAATATCGGTCGTGGATAATCTTTCCCAAAAGTCTGGATGCTTTGGCCCAGAAAAAGAGCAAAAACACAAGGGTAACAAATACAGACTCCAAATTTGGGAGCAAGACATAACAGTTTTGTATTTGCATGCATTCCGACAGAGGTAGTTTAATTAATTTCACACAAGCCTTATTACAGATCAAATAGATTTGTTCAGTGTCAGGCTGTCTTGGTTTAAGTAACCCAAGCAATCTGGTTATTTTCTTTACACAGAAAAATCTTCACAGTGCATTGTATATAACTCCCCCTGTCTGTCAAACAATACCTGGTCTTGACATTTGGGACAGATCCACATGCCCTTGGGAATGGTTTTCAGAGGCGGGTCCAGACAGTCCAGGTGATAAACACGTGAACATGTGTCACACATCAGCAATTGCCCGCTTTTTCTGCAAACACTGCAAAAATCCTCATGGATATCACCCTACAAAATTGAGGGGAAAGGGTGTGGGTGAGAGAAAGAGAGAGAGAAGACAAAAAGTGAACTTTGGCCTTTGACATCTACATCCTAGTTGAATTGAAAGTTTACAGCACAAACTGTTTCTAAGGGGATTCCAAAAGATCAAGCCCTTTTTAGTCTGTGAAACAGGAAAACCAGGCAGCATGTCACTGACATCGGTCCTCCCAAACACTCTCTCTTGTCCTCCAGAGGCAAAATGGTACAGCAAACACTTATTAACATAACTTCTCTTAACAACTGCTATCCCATAGTCTTTCTTCTTTAAAATTCCCACTTTACTCTGCTTTTTATTTGCCTGAACTGATGAGCTACACACTTTCTTAACCCTCCTCATTTCTGGATGTAAGCCCAACTCCACTCCAGGAATGCTGATGAGGCTGTCTTTTGCCAGTAATGGTATGTAAGAAACCCCGAGTGACTTAAAAGAGCACTGTCAAATATTTAGGTCACCTTTAAAAATGAAACTGTAAGGAAAAGGGGTTGTGCTTGTAAATGAAAAAGGACAGAATTAATTACGTTCTGCGACAATTCTTTTTACTTCACTTAGGCTATCTCAAGTTGCACCAAAAAAAGCTGTGAGCCGAAACTTTCTCATTCTCTACAGAGAGTGGTTTGTTTCATCACTAACAAAGGCTGAGAGCCAGGATGAAAGAGTATCGAGAGAGATTCTAACTAAGGGGTTTTTTAAAAGGAAATAATTGAAAACATGACTGGCCGTGTCTTTTAAAACAACTAGGTTTAGTTACTATTGCTTCACCATTAGAGAGAATTTTTTTCTACAGTCATTAATATCCCAAAAAGGTAGGTCTGATTTTTGTGACTTTTTCTTCTCTCTCTCCTCTCCTGTTACTCCCATCTCATGCTAGGAGCAGTGGTGGTGTTTCTGTTTGCTTTTCTCTGTTTTTAGGATATTTGAACAAGAGGCATGAAAGAAAGGTGGCTCAGCATTCATATTGAAGGCAAGGGGCACCCAGCCCTCTCCTCTCACCACCTGTGGGTTGCCCTGGAAACTCCACATCAAGGCCCTACCCAGAGTCTGAAATACAAACTTCTCACCAACTTACAATGAAGTTTCATACATGCGCCAGATGTGCAAGATTGTGATCTTAAGATGTGTGTGTTGAGTGGAACTGTGGGTATATGCTTCCCCTATATGAAATATCAACATGTGCAAGGTTTCATTTTGATGCATATTGTCTTTTCAGGTGTGTGAATAAGTTCTATCAATTTCGAGGGATGGCAGATTTGGCCATGCACTTACACATTAAGTTACCAGCCAAAAAAAATTACACTAATCTCCACTATGGCTAAAATAATACACATGTTAGAAGAATGACACACAAGCAACCTGCTCAGGTTTCTACTTCCCAGCTCTCTCACTCATGAGGCCGTTCTTCAAAGGGAGGGCTATTCTTCTCTTAATTCCCAAGGTTAACAGTGATTTCATGTTTTGTAAAGGATCATTCTTTAGTGATTTTTCAGTGCCATGCTTTGGATCCATAACTCCCAGGAATCATTGAGAGCTGAATAATGGTATTACTTCATCCTTTAACATCAAAGAGTTCCTCAGTGTTAAATGGAAGAACTAAATGGGTGACAGTTCATGCTTCTTGTGAAGTGGTATGTGAGTACAAGGAAAGGAAGGTAGACAGGAGATGTCATATAAGCTAAAATAAAATCCTCTGCAATCTAAGGAAAAATTTAAGAGGAAAATTCTCTCATTTTAGAAAAAAAATTCTACTCTAGAGAATTACATATCTTAAGATGCTTGGGTTGCCACAGATTACACAATGGCTCTTGGTAACTGGCTCAGGTGCAAAATTATTGAGAGACCTACAAAAGAGACACATGTAGTTGCTTCTTGAGGAAAAGACATTTATAAATTTAGACCCAGAACATTCCAAAATCAACTGAATGCTGCAAAACCTGTAGTGATACAGCTGATCAGTGTGCAATGCAGCTGAACACATGGAGATGACAACACACAGGCACAAAATTCACAATCCTATTTTTGGTAATGCAAAGTTCAGGGCATTTCCTCACAATTAATAGCTGTCCTTACCAAAAACCCAGTCACTGTTGGATTCCAAAGAAATGCCCCAGGTTTTATGGGCAGTTAACAAATATATGCATAAAGAGGTGCTGGGTTTGATGTTGTGACATGCATCCTACTAACCTCAGCTTCTGAACCAGCTCTGTGTAGGCTGTAGGCAGTCAACCTAGGCTAGAGCAAAGCTCACTGAGGCAGGCTGAAGTGACTGAAGAATAATTTCAGAAGAGACACCATAAAAGGTGATTCAACATCACTTTTTGTTCTATCTTCTCTTCATCAAGGGACCAGGAAAACAAATTAAAGCCTTCTGGATAATTAACAGTTTTCTTTATTTTTATAAAGTGTCTAGAGCAGCAGGGCCTGGCTTTAGGCAACAGAACTGAACAATACAGTATCAAATGTAGTTTGTGTGTTTGAATATGTGATACCTATACTTTTGCATACACTTCATTGGAACAACATGGGAAAGCTAAACATTCTGCTACAGGAATTTTTCATGACCACATAAATAAAGATGATCAGAGTGTACAATGTAAATGAATTTAATTATCAGAACAATAATAAATCTGGCCTTTCCTAACTTCTATGGGTTTGATTTTGCAGTCTGAATGTTCTGTGATGCTTATCTCAATTGAAACATTGCTTTGATATAAGAATTTACTAATGAAAAGGCATTTTGTGACCACAGACTTGAACCATCACTAGAACAGAGATTTTTGCACAATTCTTACTGCTGAGTAATTGACCTTCAAAGGCAACTGCTATCTTCCGGGTGAATATGCCACTACTGCATGAGGAACAACCATACATAACCAACTGATTCACAAACAACTGCCAAACAGGAAAAAAGGAATTAAAAAAAAAGAGAGAGAGAGAGGGGAAAAAAAAAAAGATGTTTTGCTCATGTTTTGTTCAATCCTACCTATTGCATTACTTCCTTCCTTTTCCCAGGTTCTATTCCTACTTTCTACCCCTCCATCCTTATCACCAATCCCATCTCAAGTTTCTGCTTCATCCTCCCTTCAAAATTTCTCCCTGTCATTCAGAGAATGACATTTCAGGAGAAATTCAAAAAGGCTTTTCTGGGTCATCGAACCTGATGCCAAGTGCTTGACCTGATTTGCAATTTTCATAGGCTGGCTAAACGCAAAGATTACTAAAGTGCTAAAATCAAATTTCCATTCTAAAGCCTATAGGAATTAGACCTTCTCAGCAAATTAATGCAAAAATATTTTAAAGATAGCCAAACTGCAGTCTTCTTCTGTATCTGTCTGATGAACTGCTCAATTGTTTTAACTGAGACTTCTGAAATAGCCTTTTTCTTTGGCATGCGCTTGTTGTATTTTCATTTTTAAGTCTCCAAAAGCTGGAGGCTACAGACAACATGTTCTGTCCCATCTAGAATAAAGAGACCTTTCTATAGTCACATCATCTTCTAACAGTGTAGACCCTCTTCAACATGACATGGTCTGGCCTCATGGCCAAAAGAAGTGATCCTGCTTTCTGTATATGCCCAAACACACATTTCAGCCTGTATGAAGCTGGCACAAGAATGTGTGTGTCTATAAAATTAACTGGATTAGGGCATAATCCTGGTTAAAACTAATAATTTTTAGCTATGCCAGTTCCCTTATGCAGATCACTATGAGGCCTCAGATATATCTGTGCTGAAACAACATAGGAGGCATTTCAAGGATGAGAAAGGACTGCTGGTGACAGGCAGCACAGTTCTCCTCAGTGGCAGCACCAGTCATAAGATGTGGCATAAGCATTTCAGTGGATACTGTATTCTACATCTAATTAAGTTTCGAGGTCCTTACATGCCAAAGAACTAATTTTCCTCTTTGTCTTCACCTCCAGCATGACTTGTATTGTTGCTGTTTAAATATATACTACTTTTCCAGGATTGTATCGCGCTTTTCCAGCCAAGGATGCTAAAGGTTTTTACAAGTATTGCTAAATTCTCAAAACTCAGATGGGAGAAGCACGCAGCATGACAAATATATAAATAGAGGAAACCAAATCACAAAAAAGTGATGTGACTGTACAAGCTTATACAGCAATTTTATGATAATATATTAACAGAAGACTACCTTCCAGCTCATGACAGCAATTGGAAACCATTCCTCTCTTTATGATTAACAAGTAAGAATTATAAGATGTAATGACAAAAGAATAGATATTTGTCTCCTTTCTGACATTTTGCCATCTTTGAAGATTTTGTTACATTTTGTTACATACTTTATTTTTAATTTAAAAAAAAATGATCAGCACTTCGAACTATATTTTTTACTTTTACATGTATCTTATTTTAAGCAGAACTCAATAACAAGTATTTCTGAGAAGTCTACCAAATTAGCCCAATTGATAGTGAATATGTATTGAATGGGACTTTGGCATAAAGTTCTTTAAAAAAATGAAACCCTTTAAAAATGTTAGTCTTGTTGCATGTGTATAAATTAAACACCTTGTCTGAAAACATTAAAGGGGACTTATATACAATTTTAAAGGCGAAAGAGTGTTACTGTGCTATATGATAGTATGTTCGGGTAGGAGAGAACACTTATTATCAGCTGTGTAATCTTCCATCGTCTCCTTTAAACCACTTAAATTTTGATTAATTAATGAATACTAAAGAAATTCAAAGCCTAGGCCTAAACATGATCCTAATCCAGAAAATTAAGGGCATTCAGAACTAGATTTGAATGCTACAGAAACTCATTATTCTTGATTTAGCTTGCTGCCAAAAAACAGGGCAACAACTCAACCTACTGTTTAGAAAGCTCTTACACAGTGGGAAAAGACTTGGCAGCATACACACACGCCAGAGATGGAAAAGACCCCTACCCCATCATCCAGTCCTTCTCTTGGGGCCAATGTAAAATATGTGCTCTTCAGCATATTTACAAGTTATCTGTACTGTTTACTTTTTAAAGTCCCCAGACAGGAAGCTGTCTCACCTTATCCCTGAGGGGCTGTTTCATAGTCCCATTCATTTGACTGTCCAGAAAGGCTTTTTACAGTCAAGTGCCATCCTGCTCTCAAAAATTACTATATAAAATAGAACCTTTTAATTTCACATACATATTCCCTGGGTATCAGAATTGCATCTATTTATTTCAGTGCCTCAGACATATTTGTACTATTTCTACTCCTGTTACTTCTGCAGAACAAATACAGCTAAGAGGCTCCTATTCCCCATTAGAATTGGTTTCTATTCCCCATTCTATGTGGTCAGTAGGGTTGGTCTCAGTCTATGTACTTACAGCAGTGCAACTATATAGATGAAAATAAAATGATCCAACTCTTCCTTAAGGCCTGTTTCAAATGGTTGGGCCTCAACTATATGTGACAATATCTTTTCTAAAAAAAGGATTACAGAAGGAGTTTGCAGCACTGCTACGAAGAAATAAGCAACCACCTTTTGATTTTTAAACTGTGCCCTGTAGATATGAGTCATTAAAATGTAAGCACTTTAATCAAAGTACACTACAACTCCTGAGAACTCTTTTCTTCACACTGAACAGGTATGATACACTTTCTGCCAAATCAGTGCTGCAAATACTGCAAATACTCTTGGCTATTCTGCATGATGAAGCAGTTTACCTCCTTCTCTCATTACAGAAACATAACTTTTTTGTTATTATGGTCTGTAACTAATACTTTTCATTCTCCTCTTTTCCCCTCCCGCCCCTTTTTCATGGATGACAGATTCAATTCAGTCAGACAAGATCTCAGACACTGCACAAAAGAAATGAGCTCATCTAGCATGCCTGGTGCCTCCCAATGTTTCAATCCACAGAAGGAGTTATAAATAAAATCTTTACGGGATTGCAACATAGGTGCAGGAGGAAAAAGGAAGGGTGTTAAAAAAATGGTGAACTGTTTCACTGCTCTGAATAAGGACAAATGATGAGTGAGACTAAAGAAACAAAATCTGCAATGATTTTCCTTCTGTCTGTTTCTGCATAACTTTCTAAAAGTAATCCCCTCCCCAAGAGTTACTTACGTCTGTGGAGCTGGGGCTAGGCAGGGACACAGGCTGAACAGCTGCGGGAAAAGTAAATGTGGTCTCTGTCTTTTCATTTTCAGGGGAGTCAGGATAACTGGACAGAGGGGATGTGGGCATCAAAGCCCCAAACCCCAACACCGTGTTGTATTTAGGTGGACGACCTACATATTAACAACAGGGAACACAAACAAACAAACAAAAAAAAAAAAGAAAGGAAAAATGATCTTACATACCTTTGGCCAGTGGTCCTCATTGGCTAGCGTGAAAAAGGAAATGATGTAGCACAGAGAGGAAGTTAATATAAAAGTTACAAGTGGAAGGACAGAAGCAAAGATTTAAACATTTTTTAGAAATCTTTAAGTAGAATTTTGCAAGGAGAGAACACTTAAAAGATGCATTTCAGAAAGAAATAGAAATAAGCTCTGTAGAGGGTCAAAGAATTATTCCCACAAAAGCAGCATGGGGGCACTTCCCACTCCTAGAAATGAGGCTGTTCAGTTTTTAGGGGAAACATGTTGGCATCAGAGCTAGAGAGACGTGACAATAACTACTATTAAATCCTTTCTAGTGTTATCCAACACCTCCCTATCTTTCTAGTGCCAGCATAAATCTACACAAAGGTTAAGTCCTTCATCAGAGGCCAACACTCACCAACCCCCTACTTTTCTTCTCCCTTTTTAAAACCCACTAATCCACAGATCAGCACTTTCTACCCTACTGGTACATTTTTAAAATTAGGCTACCTCAAGAACAGGTCTTCTTGTCCAACCCATAACTACTACCAGTTTTAACCTATCACTGGTCTTCCACAGTAACCCCCTCCAAAATCTGTGTTCTTTCTCGGACTTTCTCAGTAAAGTATGTTTAGTTATGCGCAACTCCTAAATGCTCCTTTAGACTAGCAGATGTGCAAAGTGTGTTCATAACAATTTTTATAAAATTATGAATGCAAAGCAAGACAGGAAAAAACCCAGTAGGTAACCATAATTTCTGCCTCCCTTCTCCAGGTAATTTATGGATATGTAAACATAAAGGAGTTAGGATCTAGGAATAATTCCCCAGATTTTATGTTTACAGGTTGTCAGTCTATACCTATTAACATGCTAAGCCTTGCATTTAAGGTCTGGATATGTTCCAGAACTAAGTACGTCCTTGGAAACCGATTTCTGATAGTGATGTCCAGGGCTGAAATTTCTGAAATGCTCAGCACCATCTAGAATTAAACTAAAGCTCTCAAGGGCACATGCTTGCAAAAGCTTTTTACTCAATATATTGCTATATTAAATTACAAGACAAATGTATACTCCCAAATCTTTTGTCAATTGAAAATGTGTGCTACTAATTTGGTGCTGATGCAAGGTACAGGCTCACAACAGAGTGTGAGGAAAAAATCAGAAAGTTTAATAGTCAGTTGTGAAAACAGGATAAGAGAGCATCAAGTACAAAAGCATGCAATCATTTCCACTGATACAGTAATTGTTCACAATGAGTTCTAAAATAAAATTAAGAAATCATTACTATAAGAAGAAACATTAATCCACAGAGTAAATGCAAATCTCTCTATATAAAATCTACATCATATCATTTTGAAAAATACATTTAATGTTATTAGAGGACAGCAGTAGAGACATGTCTTTTATTTAAAAACAGCATAGCTGCAGAAGTGCCAGCTTTGCCACATTGCCTGCTGGACTGAAGAGGTATATCAAGAAGAGCACATGTCAAAAGAATATTTGACCTTGCAGCCAAAAAGCCCAAAAGATAATGGAACTGGTCAGTGCTAGGTGGGACTGTTAGGGGTTTTTTTTATTTCATTGATTACTTTTTTTAGACAGCAAACTCAGGAGTAGAGAAGGTATTATGAGTCTTTAAGAACTGCAGAAAATCATCAAAAACCAGGTAAAGATTGTCATGTAAGTGTGGTCAATGCCATACACAAAAAAATGGTATCATATTCTCTTCCGTACTGTTCTGACTCACCTGTTTCACCATAATCTAAGCATGAAAATTTCACCTATTCTACAGAAGGATTTCTTCTGAATAATACTGCATACCTATATGAAAGATCCTCTCTCACTTTAGAACAAGTGGCACTCTGGTTGCAGAAAAGCGCTTAGTAAGAGCATGGTAGCTTTCCTTGTTCTTTTGAAGGACCCATCTCTACTCCCAGCGGTGAACAAGGCTTTTGTCACACTAAGTTTTCTCTCCTATTCAGGGCACAGACACTTTTTCCATAACCAAGTTCTCCTTGACAGTAACAATACAATCTAGTCATTAACAAGATGATCTTGACAGCAGCTTCACACCACTACCGGATGTTCAAACACCTTTCACTTTTGCTATATCTAGCGAATTTTATTTTTTGGAGAGTGAAACTGAAAGGAAACATTGAGCTGCCTAATAAAACTTGCTGTTCTAATCCCTAGAAGTCATGGTCTTTGCCTACTGCAGAAATTTACTGGACAAATGAAGTACTGTGGAGTCCTTTTTGTTTTGCTCTTCCAATCAGCAAGGGGACTACAAATGCGATATGGAGGAAGGTGCATACAGCAGGGAGACAGGTCTAAGTATACCTCACCTCTTTTACGTGTCCCAGGATGCATTGTGCTGTTCAGGTACGTGACTGTACTCTTCTTGCGCTGCAGGGAAGAATATAACAATTTTTGCTGGCCAACATTTTTGGAAAAACTATATGCACTAACTGAGGAACAGCGCAGTAGTCCTAAGTGAGATTATCGGCTTTTTTTTGTTTTCTGAAGCACAGATTCAGAAATATTAGCTTTTTTAGACTGCGTCTGACATCTGGACTGCTTCAGGCTGACACATAAGTTGACCAACACATATTGCCATTTAACAAGAGCTTTACATAGGAGAAGGCAGAAGAAGACATAAGTATTAGAAGAACACCCCAATGTATTTACTATTTAAAAATCTGAGGGTCATGTCATTGCAATGGCCTTTTGAACTATAAATGATAGCTTGCCAGTCTAGTTAGGACTGAGATAGTTTAGGAGGTAGCAACACGGCAGAAAGACACACAAGATCAGAATGAAAACACTAGCTTCCCCCAGCAAAAAATTAATACCTCAGGCTCAAAAACAGCTCCACTGTACACTGGATTTGCTGTTGTTCTTCTTTTCCTCTCTTGTCGCTTACTTTGGATTTCTTGTAAAACAAAGCATTCAAGTTAGAAAACAATGGATGTCAGAAATTATATAGTCCTTGGAATTCGGTTTGCATGTGAGGAGAATTGTAAAGATTTCTACAGAACACCAATCACGCCCAATATCGGCAACTGCGTTAAATTTCTAATTTCTGAAGGTTTGAAAACTAAGAGCTGACACGGAATACAAACACAGTGCTCAACCAACTAATAAATGATTGCCATCTTCTTGCCAAGTAGTCCACAACTAAGACTTTTAAACTCATGGTCAGCGTAACCAGGATCTAAAACAAAAAGCCTCTGGTAACCTTGCTGATACTTAAAAATAGAGTAGAGAAATATGCAAGCCATTGAAATTATAGGTTGTCTTTCACTGTATAGGATTAGATGTTTAAACTATAAAACCAACTATAATCCATTAACTTGTTCATTACAAATTATGACCTCATGAAATCATGAAATAAATGAAAAATCCAGATGTACGTTACAGTAAAATTATCCATGGTGTATCTTTGCAGAGATAGGGGTTGTCTAGAAAGCAACAGTTGCCCAGTATTGCCACAGATTTCTTTCCTACCACCAGAGCATAGCCTTCTTCCCAACCACTCATCCCCACTGTATAAGTAACTGCTTTGTTTCAATGTAATAAGAGGTACAAAAAAGTATGCACAACAAACTAAGTTAGATCAAGAGTACAGACACCCCAAAGGTACTACTGTGCATGAAAATACTGCATTTAATATAGAAATATTTTGGAACCCTACTTCCAATTCAGAAACATGAAACAGGGAATGCAAGAACCAACCTAAGACATTTTTCCTACCTTCCAGGTGGTCATGAGTAACTAGTCCCAGAGACACCATGAAGGCAAGTTTCTGTGAGGGGGGAGAAAAAAGATCATTAAAAGTCCAACTCTTAGGATAAGTTATGTCATTTAGGCCCTTTAAAGGCAGTTGACAGGTAACTAAGCAACAAAAATGTTTTTAGTAATACTTTGCTTCTATAAATCACTTTTTCATTCATGTATGTCAAACTGCTTCAGAAAGAACAGACAATAGTCCTATTTTCTAGACGGGAACCCAGACTGAGATACAAGGAAATGCCAATTGCTCATGATCACAGAGTTGGCAGAAACAGGAGCAAGAAAGCAGTGTCTTTACTTCCAGTCCAGCACTGAAGCAACTGTGTGATTGACTCTTAGTAAATACCAACACAGTTCAATTGCCAGAAAAATATTGCTAGTTTAAGATCATTCTCCATCTATTGTGAACTACAAGGAGCAATTCTGGCTTACATTTGCTGTTTGATAAGGGCTATGGTGTTCATAAAGGATTCCAATTTTAATGGAGAAAATGAACAGATATAAAAATCAGAATTTGTACTGACAACAGTAAGTGCTCACACAGTAGTTGAATCCATCTACAGAAACAAATGAAGTAGAGCATTTAGCTGTAGTCAGTTTCATAGCTCGGCATGGCAGAAAGGCTTTAAGAAAACAGCCATTCTGGCCACTCTTTCACCCCAAACTAAACTAGACTAAACCCCAAGCAGAATGTGAATATACGTGGCTCTTTCCATCCTGCTTACCAGAGCAGAAATATTTTCCAAAGCAAAACAAAGACATTTCTTCAGCATTAAGAATAACTCCAGAGTCTAAAACTTCAAAGGAATGGAAATCAACACTGTAATCTAAGCCCCTGTGAAGGAAGTATCACAGAGAAATTATGATCTTCTAACTTACAAAAGACTCAGAAGCCAAATGCATTCCAGAACTGAAAAATGCAATGCACTATATGTATTTGGATTTCTTATTGTGAAGCCTTATCAACTACTGCTGTCCTACAGGAATGCATGGAATGTTAAAGTTGAGGAGTCTTGAGGGAACAGAGGGAGAATAATATTTTCTGAAGGACAGAGTGTCCTTTTTTTTCTTAAAAGAAAGCTCTGGGTGTACCTGTGGATTTTCTTCTCGTTTTGGCTTCGGTGCAGCAGGTGGAGTAACTGTACGACTTTCTGTTTGCTTCTCTTCTGTTTCCACATGCGGTTTAATAGTCTGAAAAGAAACAGTGTTTCTCTCATTCAGTGATAAAAAGAACTTTTTTTCACTTTGACTATTAAACCAAAACAAATACTTTCGCAGATACAGAGAAAAACGTTTATACCCAGCAGTGTACTAACAAAGTCTTAATTGAGGAATCTGAGGTGAGAGGAATGCTAAATAAAGTGTTTTCATCTAACAAAGGATGAAACAGCCTTGCCACCATTCCATTAACCCACAAGCCAAGCAAAAAATAACAGTCATCCTAAAGAGTTAACTTTGCTACAGAAATCACCATAAGGTATGGGAAAATTAAGAGACACTTCAAGAAAATTCATCCCATGGAAGAATTCCACGTTGAAACCATTCTGCGTGGCACATGCATTTTGTATTTCTCATTCCTCAGTATTCACAGTACATAGAATAATGAATGGCTAAAAAACTGTCTCTGAGTCCTACAATCTCAGATGTTTCTGAAGCGTTTTCCTCTTCTTAAGTCATAATCTTCTGCATGACAGTCCTCAGCCCATGGCATAGCTGTTGAAGCTATAAACTGAGTGTGGTAAAGCTAAAGAGAGACAAACTTTTCCCCTTTATGATATGGAGAAAATACACAGAAAAATTCATGTATTATTGAACCACCACCACTCTTCTGTTACGTATTTCAGTAGTTGAATTGCCAGTAATTTATTCGAAGAGCAAACAAATATTGCTGACATCAAAAGAAACAGGCATCAAAAGTCAAATATTGTAGAAGTACAACTTCAAATTACACAAAAAGGGCACACACTGCTGAGGTACTTGTGGAACAGCCCCAAGATATGCAAGAACTTCCTCTTGAGACTTCATAAGCAGAACTGACCATGAGCATATCTCTCATGCACATGATTTTAATAGTCTCCGTAAGTGATTTCAAAAGCAGAAAGAAGGTAACTTCAAGGCATGTTAGTCTATGAAAGAGTTATAAGTGACATAGACACTAGTATTATCTATATAAATAACAAAAATATTATATGTTATAGTGTGCAATACAGTATAAAATATACTATTATTAACATACAATATATAAAAGTGAAACAGAATATTGCTTTACTTGAACTGAATGGCAAGAACTCTCAGTTGCAATCCACATTGACTGAAGTAATGTTTTATTTTACAGAAGTCTTGTCTGGAGAGAGACTTTAAAACTAAACATCCAGAATTCTCTGTTTCTGAGGGTCTTCTTTCCACTCAATCAATCCAACTATTAGACTTCAGAAGCTGAGCGAGACTATTTTGCCTCCAATCACAAGACCACAAGACCAAGGGTCAAGGAAGAAATGGCTACATTTATCATATTAAACATCCCTACAATTTTGTGCAAATTTTGCCTTTCACATTGCCACCCCTTGCAAAACAAAAGGGCTTGATATGAACATGGATTTCAGTTTGTACTCGTTCTCCAAGACATCAGTCAAACCCTGCAATGCAGCCTGCTTACGAACTACTGAAGTTAAAACAGTAGGGAGAGCATAGCACACTGAAGCCGGAGAAAAAGGTGCCATGGCCCATATTAAAGGAAATGGTAACTTCTATCCCAAAAGTTGCAAGTCATTCCACAATTTGTACTGTCATTGGAACGTATCTCCGGTACCCACTGAAAATTTCTCCCTGGTTGTCATCCTCTCCAAACCTGCACAGTAAAGCAATAAGCCCAGTATCTTGCATTAGTAGGCACTTTATCTGTACCTGTTTTTCAACGTTTGGTTTGCTGATCTGTACAGTCTGAGGTCCAGCAAGCCTGGTACCCGGTGCTGCTATCACAATGCTGGTGAGCTGTGCCATAGGGAAGGTTTTGGCTATGGTTGCTGTCTGCCCGTTAACTACACGAACTGGATGTATGGAGTTCTGAGAGTTGGGTAAAGAGGTGGGTGTGAACTTCGTTGTCAACATCACAGGCCTCTGAATAAGCTGAGGAGCTGCAAGCATTGGAGGAGGTGCAGGGGCAATAGGAATATTATTTTGGGCAACCGGTTTAGGTCGAACCTACAAAAATAAGAGATGAAAGAAGAAAAAAAAGAGAGAGATTCAAATATCAGTATTTCAGATTAACTTTTTTACTGAGTCTTTCAATTCAGCTTGTACAATCTGCAGGAGGTTATTTGATTTTTTAAGATAATGTAATTTTTAGCATAGCGCCCTAAGTATGCTATGAGGAAAAAAAGCCACATTTTCAAGCCTACTTACATAAACCCCATCCATAACATTTGCATATGCAGTCACTGTCCCTGAAATGGTATTTGGATGCACAGACACTTATACTGAATGTTTATTGCCAAGTGCCTTAACTGTATCTAAATTAACATTTGGTTTTGCAAGCCAAAACACCCATGTAATATTTACAGGCAGCTGAGGTGCTCATGTTAAAAGTGTGTTTCAGGGTTTTTTACTGAACCTCCAAGAAGTTATGAACAGTTGACTGTGTCCTGAAATAATTAATTTTTTCAGCAAATACCTGCTATCTTTGTCAACTCTATATATTTATTTAGACAATTGTACAACCAATCTTGCGAAGCAAAAAAATTGACAAGATTATACATTAATCCCTCATAGAAAGTACTAAAGGCTACAGGTAAATGCAATAATTTCTCTTCTTTCACATGAAAGAGCCACAAGAATATTCCCCAACTCCATCACCAATACTTGCTTATTTCTTGTCCGTTATTAAGTTTGTACTTATCATATCATTACAGAGTACAGAAGTAGAACATATTACTTTGAAAATGAATATTTTTCTTTTCCTTATTTGATTTCTATTGTCCTATCCACCTTTAATACTTCATAAAGCATTTTACCATGGAAAACTAGGTCACATTCCAACAGATCTCACCATTCCCAAATCTTAATCAGATATCAGCCTATACTTTCCTTTTTCATTTTGCAAAAGATTTAGACTTTTATTCACAGCACCACATATTTCTTACAAATGAAATAGTTCCTCCATGAGTTTTTTTTAAGTGTCCTTCCCAAACCATAAAAATAAAATAAACCACAAGTTTTAGTGCTCAGCTTCAACAGAGGTCACTCTCTGCCGCAACACAGAAATACTTGGGAACAATGTAGAGACATCTTGTGGGGGTTTTTTCACTCATAAGCAGCAAACAACAATTACAGCAATTTAAGTCCTTAGGCGATGCTTTGATTTTGCTGACACCTGTTCCATGGGTTCATTCCATTTGATGCGAATAAGATCATATATACTCATCATATGCAAATTTAATAATCACAAACTCATACAGGCTGGGAGGTAGCTCAGGAGGTCTCTAACTTGACCTCCTGCTCAGAGCAGGGCCAACACCAAATGCAGACCAGGTTGCTCAGGGCTTTGTCCAGATAGGTCTTATAAAACTTTGAGGATGGAGCTTCCACAACATGTCTGGGAAGCCTCTTCTGCTCCTGATTGTCCTCAAAGAGAGAAGTGTTTCCTTATATAAAGTCTAAATCTTCCCTGTTCCAATTTATGACCACTGCCTGTAATTCTCCTGCCAAGCACCTATGTCTCCATCTTCTGGTTTATCTCCTTATTGATATTGGAAACAATGCTGCTGTTAGGGTGCCTCCAAAGTCTCTTCCTCAAAATGGACAAGCCCAAATCCCTCAGCTCCCCTTCACAACTCCTATATTCCTGTCCCCCCAGCTTCCTTCCCGTGCTTCAATCAAATTTATCAACCAGGGGTTCCAAAACTGCATGCTGTTCATCAGATGCAGTTTTATGATTACTGAGGAAAGGTGGATAATCTCGTCCCTTAATCAACTGGCTGTGGTCCTGTTGGTACAGCCCAGTATGCTGCTAGGCTTCTTTGCTGTTAGGGCACGCCACTAGTTTAGCTACTGTCAACTAAGACCTTTTAAGCTGTGCTGCTCCCCAGCCAGTCAGTCCCCAGCCTGTACCTCTGCAGGGGCTTAGTCCATTCCAGGCACAAGACTTTGCCTTTTTCCATGCTGAAGCTCAAGAGATTCCTGCTGCCCATTCCTCTGTCCTGTTGAGGGCTCTCTGAATGTCAGCACTGCCCTCAAGAGCACTGCATCCTCCAATTTGGCATCATCCCCAAACCTCCAGCGGATCAGCAATAAACACTGACACAGTGTTGGTCAAAAGTATCTTCTATCTATGCTATAATTTCTTTCTTCTATTGTTTGTTCTCTGTACACTCACCTGCGGAAGAAAATTTGGACGAGGAGTAAGTCTGGGAGGAGGGATGAACTGCGGCACTTTTATGGGCTGAGGCGTAGCCTGAACCTGCTTTAAGAACATAAGGCAGTTCAGTAAGAGGAAATCAGCTTTGAAGTTGTTCACCAAAATCAACCTCCTGAATGTATTGTCAAAACTGATGTCCTTGGTTTTCTACTTTGTAAACAGGTTCTCATTAGAAATGTATTAAAGACAGAGCTAATCTTACGTTCTAGTTCCTACACACCTTGCTTCATAAATTGCAGGCATCTTTCCTTTTAGTTCAACTGTACTAACTACTGTGCTTTGCAATCTACAACCATTTCATTTGAAGATAATAAAAACTCCTATTTGTTTTAATCATTAAAAATTGACTTTACAACAGACAGGAAATGGTAACAGACTTTGTTCAGCTTTGTCCAGCTATATAAACCAGGGTCCTTTCACAGTGCATGGCAAACAGAAGAATAAGAGAGCATCTCATTCAAATAGTAAAGATCTGGAAGTTACAATTCTTTTGGCAATATTAATGGGACTATGAGGGGCTCCAAATACACAACTTGAAATTTTCAGTTGTAGGCCATTCTTTTGAAGCAATTAAGATATGATATTAAGGAATTCTAAATACTTCCCTGTCTAACTGAAATCAACTGCATGGAGCTGCCATGTGATTAACCACTGAACAGCATGACAAGCTACCCTGAGTACCTGGGGAGATTCTCTGAAATTAATGTCCATGTGAGTTTACACTCATCTGTACTTCTGTCCACCCACATAAGATTGCAATTTTTTTCAAAAAGTCCTGTACTGATTAATTAATGCTTGAGAAAATATTCTGGTATTTCTGATGAAATTTGCTACAGAAACATAGATCATGGACTACTATTAAAACAGAATCACTTCCTCAAACCTAAGTGAGTTATTCAGCAAAGAAATGAAGCACAGACACAAAGGACAGATGACAGTGGTGCAAGGGATGACATAGGAAAAGAGAAGAACAGCAGAAAAAACTCCACTCAAATAGTCTCCTCTATTCTGATCACAAACATATGCCTCATTAGGAAGCAAAATTACTTCCATTTTCATTATTAAACTGTATTTTTTAGTAAGGATAAATTGGATTTATGTTTAGTGAAGGCATAGCCCTTACTTCAGAAGTAAAATTTTCCTGTCATGATGCTATACAATGCCCGGTTTCCAGAGCAAGACTGACTCAGAAAAAAATTAAGATATAAACCCAAACTGATCAAATGAAGAAAGTCTGACATCTACTTTACCAAAGAGAAGAGTAAGAATTTTGCAGAACATAGCCACATAGATTAGATAAGGACAAAGCAATCACTGCTGCCCCATGAATAAAAATTACTAGCAGGGGAAACTTCACACAGGTGATGATAGCACTGATTTAATTCTATAAGGCAAAACAGTATTCTCCCAAACAAAACTCTCACACGTGGAGAGTAAATTTTTTTTCTTGTACACTATCATTTTAACAATGTTAACTAGTGAAGACTCACAACATGTCCCTACTGTCCTCCTTTCTGTGCAAAAACCTGACTGTTTATTTTTTTTCTGACAGTCCTCTTGTTAACCAAACCCACACACATCTGCAGGGCAAACACATGAAACGCTTACCAAAGTTACTGTGTTTTTTGTCACTATTTGGACTGCCTCAGCTCCTGGCCCAGTGACCTTATTTGTTGTCTGGAGGTTGACTGGTGCATTCTGCGCATCAGTGCTGAGGACTGCTTTCTGATTGTTGTTGATAGCAGTAACCATGGCAATGGTAGGTCTCTGACCCACAACAGAGGCAGGCATGGTCGCAGTTGCTGCTTTCAAGACGAGAGGTAGTGTCTTAGTGGTGATCATAGAAGCTGTAGTTACAGTTTTCTAAGGGAAACAGAAAATACACTGTAAGAGACAGAGACACTCCGTATCAGACAGGACGTGGGTTGGTTAGTCAGAAACAATAGTGTGAGAAAGAAAAGGCAGCACTGAGCCTATCTACCTGCTGTTCTGACAAGGACATTATCTTATATCTCCGAAAACTGGATAGCAAGAAAGCATTCTCATTTGAGGCAAACCTGTTTGGTCTGGTTTAATCATCTGTAGCAGTGCAGATTGATCAAAACAAATTCCTGAGAAAATTACAGTTAAGTGTTAGTGGCATATGCATTTTGGATCTTTTAGTTTCATATTACTTCCAAACATTCACTGTCAATATCAAACCTATAAGGTGGAAATTTATGGAACATACAAGCAAATCAGCTTCTCACCAAATAAAACTCTAATTTTCAAATGGAAACTTTAGTTACAGTGATACTCATAATTAGAGGAAGAGAGGAAAAACATTCATAAGCTGATTTCTTTAAAAACAAAACTATATTTTTATTTTGGGCATTCCAATCTCAGTTTTAGCCATACATACAGTTATCTAGCACTGAACCTTCTTTTCTAAGAGTGTTGGTAGGGTTGTCCTGAAGTTGTAAGAGTTGTCTGTTAGTCTGTCCAGCTGCAGGCACTTAAGCTTAACTTGTGTGGAATGGGCTAGTTTTGGAACATATATGTGACACCGAGATTGCTCCTGGCCTGTTTTAAAAAGAGTGGGTTTGAATCACATTTATCTGAAATGCCTGAATACATTATGCCCATAAATTCCAAAGTTAAAACAACTATTATTTCATAATTTTGTTTTAAAGTGCACTGTCTTCTAAGATGCTAAGGAAAACAGACATTATAAATCTCATTCAAAAAGCAACAAGGTGAGAGTCTCCATATAAAACCAGAACACGATGCGAACCGAAAACTCACGACAAGTGACACTTGACAGAATGGCAAGTGATCTTATTTCTTTTCTCTTTGGTGTAAAACTCCGTTGGCACTGCATCTTCAAAACAGTTATTGGCATGATCAAATGCTCTTAGCACTAAGTAATCACCATTCTCTCCTGATGTCAGCTGGTAAAGGGACTTGAGCACAAGTCCTATGAGGAGAGGCTGAGGGAGCTGAGGCTGTTCAGCCTGGAGAAGAGGAGGCTCAGGGGAAACCTCATCACTCTCTACAACTCCCTGAAAGGAGGTTGTAGCCGGGTGGGGGTTGGTCTCTTCTCCCAGGCTGCTATCAGTAAGACAAGAGGGCATGGTCTTAAGCTGTGTCAGGGGAGATTTAGGTTAGACATTAGGAAGAAATTCTTTACAGAAGGGGTAATCATGCATTGGAATGGGCTGCCCACGGAAGGGGTAGATTCTCCATCTCTGGAGGTTTTTAAGATGAGACTGGATGTGGCACTTAGTGCCATGGTCTAGTAACCACGGCGGTAGTGGATCAAGAGTTGGACTTGATGATCTCGTAGTTCCCTTCCAACCCAGCTGATTCTATGATTCTATGATTAGGCTCTACAGAGGAAATATTGGAAAACCAGGGATCAGGCAGTCTTGTTCGTGTTCTGAATATGCCTGATTTAGACTGCTTGATTTTAATCATACAAGACCATTCTCTTCTTTCTAATAGGACAATATATTTCCAGTTGGATTCCTCAGCATTTTCACCAATATTGTTTCCTTAAAAAAACCCACAGTTTACCTTCACACCTCTAATTTTATAATGCTTAAACTATATCCTGTAAATTATGCCCAAGTATGAAAAAAATCACCGTATAATGCAAAATTAAAGGATAATGTATGTTTTATACATTTATAAAAAATCCAGACATAATTAAATTTTCCTTGCTGCAACATGAACAACTGGCTTAACTTTTTATCTGAGATCTAAGGACTTCTTATTGACCTCTGTTGCACCTTCTCCAAAGCAAGAGGCTCTACTCCTAAAATGCAGTAACATTACTCAAGAATGAGATGTAACATGGCATCATTTTCATAAGCATTACATTCAACCATAAACATTTTAAAGAAAGGTGTAATCAATCATGTGATACAAGACTGACTCTTTCAAGGGGTTCTATTAAATCTCTAAGTACTCATCCAGTCAGAAGATCACAGAACTTGAATATCCCTGTTACTTTGCTGAGCATTAATTACCTTGGTTATTCTAAAAAGTAATCAATGCATGAATTCATACCGAAGTGACACTCACAGTAAGCCTGCATTATTTCACATAATCTTGCAATAATATGACCTCTTAGCAGGCTTGTTGCTTTATGAAAATTTTAAAAGCCCTTCTTATTGGACTATATTAAGTATATTGAAATGTCACTGTTAAGGTGGCATATATTGATTCCTAAATTTGATTACTCTGAAAATAATAACTGAAAGCATTCTCTTTACTGATATAGCCTTGAAAATGTGTTATCTACAAAAGTAGGCACCAAAAAACTTTTTAGAGAGACAAAATCTTTGACCTTTCTTTGCTGAAAGAGATTGAGAGGCAACAAGACAGAGGCACAACCTTAGATGCAAAATGTGTGCAGAAATTAGTGAGGGTACTTCAGGATTTTACCAATATAAATAAAAATATAAAAGTGTTAAGAATAAAAGCTGGCTTATTTGTCCAAGTGACAGGACAACCTGCCTTTCAGTTTGCAATTACTTTCCAAGTACTACTGTACCAATGGTAGTCAGAAGGATGTAGCAGTTTTTGGACTGTTTCGCTAGAGGGCTCTTTAACTTAAATTTTACAACCCAGGAGATGACCTGGAAGTTAATGCATGAATGCAAAGTGTGGAATACGGAGAAACACATGAAACTGCATTTGCTGCCATGTTTCCTGACTGAAAAACAGAGATCAGTGATACAGCTAAGAGTGATCTATTGTTTGCCTAGAAATACTTCAAGACACGGTAATATTTACTTCTTTGTTCTGTTTTAGATTTAGATGTTGCTGTTGCTGATCAGAAGTGCATTTACCTTAAGTTAAATTTGCTTCATTTCTTCAATATTCTTTTCTCAAAAATACAACTAGCTAATACATTTTAGAGTGCATCCAAACCAGCTTGCTGAGTTAAAGAGAGAACTAACAGTCCAACCATTTCTCCCTCCTCTGCTTTCAGGAAAAGGGAAAATGAGAATCCCAACTGGTGAAAGCTGTGGGTGTGATACAATGCAATGTGCATAAAGTAAACTTCACGGGTGAATTCTGCCATCTGCCTATCCCAGTAAACATGAACTCCTAAGATTGCATCAACAGGAAAAGAAGAACTCAGATATACTTCCTGTTACAGAACACCTCCCTGCAATTTTATTAGCACATTTTTGGGATTTTAAGTATTTGAACTGGAGAAACTTGAAAATCCCCTCTCAATGAAAGCAGACCACTTTCTCTTTAGAGTTATGGCATTATGTCTCTAACCCTATATTATACTGAAATTTACTTCACCTTCCCAATAAAGACACTAGTTTTTAAAACTTAAACTATTCAATTAACAATTTACATTCTCAGACAAATCCTTGAAAATTCAGGTAATTATTATTTGATATGAGTTACATCTGTTTAAAAAAAAACAAGCAGAAAGAAGAAGGAACTGTTTTCTTACATTTTGTTCACAGATCCAGTGGGCATTCTGTTCATCTTTTAAAAATAAAGGATTTTAGTCATACACCTCATACAGTGTGTACCTACTTGGTATGGTTAGACAATCATTCATACAACTGTGAAAAAGACAGGTTCATTTACTAAACTTTCACTTACTTTAAGGAAGGTGATACTGCCACCCTTCTTTTCTGTGAAGTTATGATTCAACTTTTTAACACAACATAATTTTTTTGACTCAGGAGGTTATTGCAGAAAAACCCCACAAGACCCATATGCATAGAAGAAGAAATTCATATTGGTACACTAACAAGTGTAAGTGAAAGTTTGCAGTTTTCTCTACGCACTTTTCCCTTTTTTTTAATTTTTAGTGTACTTCACCATTAGCAAGGAAAAGAATTATCATGGCTTTTTACCTGTGATCCTATCACGTTTGGAGAGGGTGCAGTGGACTGCTGCTGCTGTTGATGGTGATGTTGCTGTAGCTGTTGTAGTGGTTGCGGCTGTGGTGTCTGTAGTTTGTTTTCTGACTGTGCCAATGGCTGTATTTGAAACTTACTGTCTGGCTGTTCCTGTTTCACTATCAAATTCTTTCGAAGCTGTTCCACCACTCTTTTCTACCAGATAAACAAAAACATACACAGAAATGATGAGAGTTATTTAGCTGCACATATTAGAGAAAATAACAGCACCTAAATATACATTTATTTAATGTAAATAAAGAACTGCTCAAAAGGTTAGTGGGATTTCTCTTTTTGGAATTTTGAATACTGGTGTTATCTAATAGGCATGGTGCAAAATAGGCCACAGAGGAGTACAGCAGCCCAGCAGGGTGACCTCGCTGTCCTTGCAGAAACCCACTCACCAAAATTCAGCCTATTCACAAACCACTGCAAAAGCTCAGTAACCTATATTTACATGAGACATGTTAGCATTCAGATTCCAAATTTTCTGATTCCTTCAAACATGCACCACTCCTAAGTGACAAAAAAGTACTTTGGGTTGAAGCCTCACAGCTGACTTCAAGGCAATGGGCATACCATTTTGTACCAAATTGAGTGGACAGACAGTCAGTTGGAGCGCAAAGTGGGAAATAGGAAGGGCATGGATGTGTGGTCATTCTGTTCAATAATATTGTCACCCGAAAAAGAATCAGAGAGGGCTACGTACATGGGAAGGAAATGGCCCAGATCTATTTCTCCCAGCTTAAAGGCTTCCTGTTACAATATAGCTTCCATTGAAGTTTGAGATTATTTTAAAAAGAGGTTTCTTCTCCTGGTAGCCATTGACTATCTTTAGACAGTAACAAGATTTAGGAGCAGGCCAGGTGAGGTGACCTGCAGCCTCAGATACACGTTGTCACACGAGTAATAAGGAATCAGAATTTATGTTCATATTTTACTTTAGTGTGGACAAGCGTGAAAACACTGTGAGGCTTTTTTTACCTTTTGCAGGCATAACCAAAAATGGACATTTCTTTCCTACATTCCAACCACCCCAAGTTAGGACAGCTTTAAAAAAATCTAGCTATATACCTAAGCTCTCTTGATCAAGAGCATATGCACACTGCAAAGCAAATACAGAACAAAGTTGGCTTCAAAAGAGGACAATGAAGTCAAGAGATGTGATACAGGCTCAACTGAGAAAGCTCTAGTGGTTAGGAAACCTCTACCAGAGCCAGTTGCTGACAGCAGGTTGCCCCTGCAGTTGCACTTATATGGAAAGGAAAATTAAAAAAGAAACCAACAAACAAACAACCATTTTGATAATACCAAATGTTTTAATTTTGGTTTGTTTTGTTTAGAAGCATTATTATTAAGACATGGTACAAAACAGAGATGGAGATAAAAACATAAAAATCCAGCTTGTTGGTGTATTGTAAATACAACTAACTGGAACAATATTTTTCCTCAAATTTTATTTCCACAAAATTACGACATTCTGAGCTAACAAAGTATCTGTTCTGTGCATTGTTCTTGACATACTCTAGACTTATGGTCTCTTAGTTATGATGAGCTAAAACTGCATGATGCTTCAATCACTGAGTGTGTACCTTGAGCCCAGAAGAAGATAACAAAAGGGGTAGGTTCCCCAATCAACAGATTTGAGAACTGGAACTTCAAAAAGCCAAATAAAAAGCACAAGAAACAAAAACCCGACTGTTGTTTCATAAGGTTGAAGTGTGTGAGCTCACGATTGACCTTTTAGCAAAAGATTGAATTCAGCAACTCACAGGTACACAAGAAGGACTGCCTGTCTTCTACAACACCCACAGCCCTGGTTGAGGATGCATGCTCAGCTCTGACAAGAGAAACACAGGTCCAACCTCACTGAAAATTCAGGAAGTTGGTAATGGACAGCAGCATGACAGAACTATCTTACACTGCATCCAGTGAAGTGCTAAAAGCTGTCAAAGCCTAAAAGCTGAAAATTGTTTGTTCCCTTCTAGAACAAGGAGAAAATAATAGAAGTGTAGGAGGCATTTTCCTAATTCAGATACTTTACATAGTTTTAAATAGCCTGTGTCTATCATATATGTAATAACTGAACAACCATTTAAAATTGCTTTCTGAAAAGATCAACCACGTTAAACTGCAAATCAAAGTGCCATGTCAGCAGATACAAGAGCTCAGAAAACATTTCCAGAGAGTAACCCTAGGGGAAGGAGAGGAGAAGGCAGCAAAGTAGAAGAAATAATGTAACATGCCTATAGAATACCTGCCAAAAAATGGACTGCAAATACACTGCACAGGAGGCTGAAGAATTTCCATACCTGGCATGAACAGGAAGGGAGTTTTTGTCTTCCACAGCTGCCTGTATGAAACTCAGGGATAATGGTGCTCTTCTACTGATTCCCTGACTGGAGAAAATCAGCAGCAATAGTCCAAGAATGAATTTCCATCTTGTTCTTTACAATGGGAGGAACATTGGTAAAAGGATGAAAAAAAAAAAAGAAAGAGGGAGAGGCAGGCTGGAGGACTCCTCTGCCATACTGCTACAGCAGGGCAAGAGCCATTGAGTTTGGGAGCAAGAGCAAGGTGAGTCACATTGCATTCATATGCCGCCTGTTCCACCTCTGGGCCCAAATCATGACCCGCAGAGCCGGGGAAAAACAGGCCAGAAGCACAACTCTTACTAGTGCCTTGTGCAAAAACTGAGGCTCAGCATATTTGGCACAAGATGGATAACGTGAGTGGAAAAACGCCGTTGCTCTGGAAGTCTATGCTGGCCTGTTAAAGGCTGCTGAGAGCTGCCTGGCAGGAGCATATCCTGCCATCCATATCCATTATGCAGATATTAAATTGGAAGAAACATCTAATGCTTTTAAGATTCAGAGAGTAAAACTGAAGTTCGCACTGCATGCCAATTGCTTACGCAGTTTATTAAGTTTCTTCTACCAACTGCCAGTAAAAGTACTACACTGAGACTACAGAAATCATTTTACTATCTGCAAGACAGTTGGGATTCTCTGCTTGTAGTTATGAAGAGAGAGACTCTGACAACATATTCCAAAGTTATATAGCTGAATTAGCAAAACCAGACGAGGCTCTCAGGGTTGCACCAACACAGGAACTCAGAGCAGATCTACCCTCTGCTGCGTCCTCCTTTGCACAGCCTCAGCCCACGCCGTTGGTCTGACACCACACGGCTCCCCCGCAGCATCCTGCTGGAACCGACCAACGGCTCCCCCGCAGCATCCTGCTGGAACCGCTGCTCTGCAGCCACACAAGAGCCCCGGCACGTGTCTGTCTGCAGCAATGTCAGCAGAGCCTCGTTTTGTAGGGAATTAAACAGCAGGGCACTATGAAAGAAACTCTTGTCTACTGTCAGACTTCATTAAGACTGTATTTTAAAACTGTTCTTCAATTACTTGACTGTTCCTAATCACTTTTAAAGACAGTTTGTGCTGCAGGAAGTACAGTCTGTATGACTGAAGTTTGTCAAGGCTGATATAAAGTCCCAGCTACGTGCCATAGAGACTGAGTGTCAGTGAGACTGAGGTTATCTAAAAGAACCACAAAACTCTTAAGAAATTTAATCATTGCCATTTTTCCTTCTTGCTTTTAATTAGGAATATTTAATTCAATGCTTACTGACAACTTCAAAATTTTAAGTTGGGATTAACTCAATCATAAACACATCATCATACACACAACATTACAGTTTTCTGCATATCAGAAAGCTCTAGTTTTCCTTATATTCCTAGCATGGTTTCTTTTTCTGCCATACTACGAAGGTATGAAAAGCATTTGTCTTTCAAGTTTACTGAATCTTCCCCAAAACCAAATGCCAATCCTCTCTTTACATCCAGAACATGAAAGAATGAATAATCACATCCTTTCTTCCATACTGTATTCTACCCAAAAAAGGAACTGCTAGTCCTCCGCAACAGTTACTATCAGACTACTTCAAAATTCATTTGTCTAACAGTGCCTTGTAAGCACAACACATCATCTCATAGCTCTTGCTGTCTTGACATCTTTATCGCTAATCTCATCAAGAACCATTCACACCACTGGGTTCACAGAGCCCGAGATGTCTTATATGACCCTTTCTTAAAGGTAATAATTGCAATCAATATTGTGACATTTAGCGATACCACTTTCTCATTCATGCCATGGGCCAGATCCTAACACAGCATTAGAAGATTATTTTGGTTTGATTAAGCAGAAAATAGATCTTCTTGGCCATATATCTGTGTCAAAAGATATCCCTGTGCTTATATAAAAACTATCATGAATATGTTGTTACAGGATAAGCAAAGTCCCTGGAGCAAAATTAAAAGTTAGTAAGGTTTGAAGTTTTTATCCTTATTAGCTAAGCATTATTTCCATTTTAATCAGTCAACCAAGAAATAAATAGTTCTCTGAGTACAGCTATTTTTAAAATACTAGATCCCTTGTTATATTTGGTGACACGTTTTCCTCTTCATTCAGGAAACATGTTCAGAAAGAGCCTCCATATCTTAAGGACAGTCTGTTTTTAAACTTCAGAAATCTATACAAATTAAAATATATTCAAAAAAAGAGAAGTAGAGTACTAAACAGCATTGCAATACATACATTTTAGATCACAAAACTGAGGCTGATGTGGTTTGAACTGCTCAACTGCCTGCTAATAACCTGCTTTCCTGCTCTCCCAATTTCAGGAAGTCAGCTATTACAGATCTCTGTTACCTGGGCCCTCCACTGACCAAGAAATGTTCTCTGGGATATAAAAAGTGCCAACTGCTGCGAATGAAATGGTAAAAGGCAGTACTGATTTCAAATAACTTCCAATTTGGGAGTGGGGAGGATGGAGGGAATTTTACTGTTCTGCAATCTTCCTTTCCAGCCTCCCTCTCTCTTTAGCAGTCCCATTCCCTACCGCTACCCAAACCAAAAGATATCAAAACTTACATGGCAGAAAGAAGCTAGAAGATTTTGGAGATCCAGCACAACTAGACTTTAACCTGCAAAGAGGGTGCATTTTGGGAATGTAATTTTGGAGTGGAAAGATTACAAGCAAGGAGAATAATTGTACACTCATCTAATGCTTTAAGATGGTATCTAAATTTTAAAATAGTGAAATCCAATTATAGAAATTGATGATGCAGAATCTACACCAGTAAGAATAA